GGAGGGTAGTGCAGGGGACACGTCAGAGGCAGAAGTGACATCAGGTATTAGCAGATCCTTTAAGCACATTCAATTAGGTCCTACAGAGACCAAAACCGCTGAACACATCGTCATCCATGGACCCATAGCCAAAACATTTGCTCTGGCTGGTTCTGCAGATTCCCCTGAGCTAGGCAAGTTAACAGGCAGCAGCACAACGCTAAGGCACTTTGCACTGGGGCCCAAAGAAACTTCCTTTACTTTTCAGATGGACGTGAGTAACACAAAGGCGATCCCCCGCTGGACACCAGAGGCAGGGACAGAAGTGGATGCTCACAGTGTATCTGACCGTGGTGTCCGGAGAGATGCTGACAGTAGGAATGACCGGGCAGCTGGCGGGAGCTTTCAGGCCTCTGCTGGGGATGGAGAGAAGGGTGCGGAGCAGGCGGGGTTCGATAAGACAGTGCAGATGCAGAGAATGGTAGACCAAAGGTCAGTGATTTCAGATGAAAAGAAAGTTGCCCTCCTCTACCTAGACAATGAGGAGGAGGAAGAGGATGGACACTGGTTTTGACAAGCAGAAATATTTTGTTTTAAATGGCATCTTGTTTGGAAATACACTAACATACAAAGGCCTTACTTTATGTGTAGGGGGGCCTTATTATCAAAACTGCCCCTATTTTGCTTACTTTAGAGAACTCTGGGCAATGCCAATTGACTTCAGAGTTTATCTGAATTTCAGATTAGTTCATGCCTTTAGAGGCTTTGGAATTTTAGTTTTGAATTGGGACTTTTGCCAAAAAACACTTTTTTTTATCTCTTTAATCTTAAAAACTTCCTTTTTCTCTACTTGTGGAGATAGTTTCTGCCAGTTTTGCACCTGGTCACAGACAGAGCTTCCATCTGTTTGATACTGTGACTAATCATCTATGAACAAGATGTCTAAACATTAACCAGATTAAAATAATATATTTAAGAGTCTATTTTGTTTGCATGTGCTAACATGAAATAATAAACTAACATTTTAAGGGAAAAATAAGTACATTTTTACTTTCCAAAGTCTTTGAAATAAGCAAGACTATATCTTAAAAAAAATCAAAATAATTTCATCTTTAGAAAAAAGTCACTTGTTAGCAACTTAAATTCATTTTAAGACTTGAATGAATTGCTTTCTATGTGCAGAACTTCAAAAAACATAGTGTTTTATTTATGGAGAGGAAAGCTGTAGTCTACTGCGATGTTTCAAATCAACATATCTGCTATGTTTGCACCGGTTCCCCTGTACTGGATGCATGATAGGGAAAATGATTGTTGGAAGTTGCTTATAGGACCATTTATTTTTTGCAGTACTAAGTCATGAGGTAGTGCACAGCCTGAATACTCTTTTTTTGTTGTGGCCTAAGTTCTGGAGTAGCTGGATCCTGTCAGAGTCTGCATTCTTGAGCATCTCTGTGCCCCAGCCCTTAGCACCAGTGTTCTGGTTCACTGGTGAGGGGTAGAACCCTGCACTCAGTGAGGAGGGTGTTGATGCTCAAACTGCACCTGCACCGGCAAAGTGATCTTGTGCAGGAAAACAGAAGGACAAGGTGGACTGTGCCTCCCAAAGAGGCTGTTCTCAAYTGCCCCCTTGTGGGTTGGAGCTCTGTCTGAGCTCGAAGACTGAAGGATGAAAATGCAGCAACCACAAGCCAACCTCGTGGAAGCTTTTTGCACTTTAAACAGAAATCCTGACAGTGGGGGTGTTTTGTCCAGTGAAACACATAACACATTAGATGAAACAGGGTGTGTGGAGCAGGAACTGGGTGGCTCTCCTACAACCCAGCACCCAGGCACCCAGGACAGGCCCCGGAAGTTGACAGAGGCCTCGTGCTCATGGGCCATGTAATGTGGACCTGCAAACTTATACTACTGAATTTAAGATATTAGGAGGAGTGTGCTCATTTGGATTCATTTTTATTTTGCACATGGGTCTTGTTTTTAAAGTCCCCATCTTTCAAAGATGTAGCATCACATATTAATGGGTTTCTAGCAGCACAGCATTATTTTAGTCCAGACTAGTTGCTTTCACATAATGTGGGCTAAGCGTTGCTTCCTGTAGCACAGTGTGGTAGATCTGATGGTAGTGAATTCAGGAAGAAGGATCCGTGGTAATGCCACCTGCAGGTGGGTTATGAATATGGTGGCGGAGGTAAGACATTGGAGGGTCTTCCCTCCTTCTCTCACATGGTGGGTGGGTGGGTGGGTGTCTCCTCTCGTCCCTGTAATGGTGATGGCAGGTAGGTTAGGAAGAGTTAGTTTTCCTTAGTCAATAAGTGGAGGAGAAATATAGAATGCCTTTCAAGATGATCTGTTAAAAAACAAACAAACATCATGAATCCAGGTAAAGAAAGAAAGTTGATTTGAATAGCAAGTTTAGATCTTTGTTACCCATCTGCCAAATTAACTAGTGGTTATCAGACTAACATAGAGGTGACTCCTTTGCAAAGGCTTGTCTTTTCCAACATGGTCAAAGATGTGCTGATTTATGTTCACCGTAATTGGTAATGGTGTTATTTATTAGAATTTGGTACAGGTGACAGCCTTTTACTTGATGACAAGACAAAGTGACGATGAAGAGTCTATTATGAGTCTAAATGGGCTTAGCTGGATGTCAGTGTCCTAACTCATTAACTTGTAAATGGGTGCTGATGTAAGCAGGTTATTAATATCACAACCCACCTTTACTTATTTTGGAAAATAAACATCTTAGACCTTAATTTTCATCTCTAAGTTGGAATGCATGTCTTCAAGGAAATATTCTGCCAGAAGTGTTTACCAGTATGGAGTCATGAGCTGTCATCGTGCTAAGTCTCTGGATCACGGCTTGCCCTTGACATCATGGCAGGTCACCCCAGAGGTCCATGTTCTTTAAAACCAGCCACTGTGATCAACCAGAGTGGAAACACAAAGAACCTTTTCCTACTCATTATTACGTGGACAAAATAGTGTTTATTGGATGTTTTTGAGCTTCCCACTGGTTGATTTGATAGTTTGTTTAGGATGTGTGTTTAGAATGGAATCATCTAAGAAGCTGACTTTGCTAACCTCCTGTTCGTAAAGAGAAATGTCACAGACTGTGTAGAAATAAAAAATCTGAGGAGAAAAAAAAATACTATGTTGTTCCTAAAGAGAATGAATGTTTTCCACTCGATTTTGGTGTGTTTTCTTTTAAACTCTAATGAAAGCAAACATAAGTTTACATGCATGTCTTCATGGTAGCACAGAATTACTGGGAGAATATATATAAGAAGTTCCAGTTCACCTGAATCAGAACTCAATATTGTGGACACAGAATTAGATAGGATGGTAGACAGCACAAGCCACCTGGCTGGTGTTCAAGTACATCCTGGACACTTAGTGGTAAAAATGTCATCACAGCTGGAAGACAAGTGCCGCAGGATGTGACCATCCTCTCCCTTGTGCCCAGGACCCAGGGGTTTCCTGGGACACAGGACTTTCTGTGCTAAAACTAGACTGTCCCTGGGACAGTTGCTTACCTTAAGTGCAAACAGGAAGGTTAGTTAATCATGACTGTTTCTTAGGTACTTCAAAAAATTGCAGTAGCTTGAGTCAAAGGAAGAGCTAGATGTCTTTACCTGTTTGTATACTTTTAGCCTTTTTAAAAAATACATATTTATTTTTTAGCTTTAGGTGGACACAATATCTTTATTTTACATTAATATGGTACTGAGGATCAAACCCAGTGCCTCATGTATGGTAGGCGAGTGCCCTACCACTGAGTCACAACCCCAGCCCCTCCTTTTAGCCTTTTACCGACAAAAATAAAAACACAAATAGCTGTATTCTTCCTCTCTTAAAGAAGTTAAATTTAATCGAAGGTGACATTTGGTAAGACATTCCTAAATGTACTCTTTCCTAGGCTTGGGGTAGAGCACTAAATTTAAAAGATGTTTTGTGATTCCAAGCTACCCTCCAAGAAATACAGAAAAGAAGAAAAAACAAATCATAATCCATATTTCTTTAAATGTGCTGCCGTGACAGAACACTATAGCCTGGGTGACTTAAACAGCATTTACTTTTCATGGTTCTGGAGACTGGTTAGGTCTTACAGATTCACTTTCTGGTGAGGGCTCGCTTCTTGGCTTGCAGACAGTCACCTTCTAGTTGTCATCTTGTTGGGGAGAGAGATCATCTCTCTTCCTTCTCTCACAAGGACACCAATCCCATTCACCAGGGGAAATAAACTAGTGACTTAATTACTTCCTAAAAGCCCCATCTCCAAATGACATCCATGAGGTCTTGTTTTAGTCAGCTTTTTCATCACTGTGACCCGAAMACCTGACAAGAACAACTTAGAGGAGGAAAAGTTCATTTTGGCTCATGRGTTCAGAGGTTCAGTCCATGGACAGCTGACTTCRTTGCTGTGGGCCAGAGGCAAGGAGGAAGGTCGCGGTGGAAGGTCCTGGTGGAGGAAAGGCAGCTCTGGACATGGCAACCAGGAAGCAGAGAGAGTTCTAGTCCTCTAGGAACAAAATATAAACCCCAAAGGCATACCCATGGTGACCTGTCTCCTCCAGCCACACCCTACCTGCCCACAGTTACTGCCCAGTTGATCCATATCAGGGGATTGATCCGATAGTCGGATTATATATCATAATCAGTTCACTTCTGAAAATGTTTACATTGTCTCACGTGATTTTTTKGGGGGGATACCTCATACCTAAATCATAACAGGGCTTCAAAAATGAATCTTTTAGGGACACAAACAGTCTATAAAAGACTCCAATGTATATATATTTAACTGCTTATTCCACTATCTACATTGAAACTCGGGTCTTCAACCGATTAGGAACCTGGTCAGRGGCGATCACGACTCCTTTTGCTGTGACCACATGGGCCTGAGCCCAGCGTGRTGGGTGTGAGCAGGGGTGGCCTGCGTGGTCAGAAATCGCTCTTGAAGAAGACAAGGGTGGCCTTTTCACCTTGTCATAGTTCTTCTCAGTTTATTTCCCCCACAAATTCTTGAGGTGCTGCTCTGTACAGTTGGACTTGGTGTGACCGGGGTTTCCCTGGCAGGTCAGAGCACAGGGAAGCCGAGCTGAAATGCTGCTGTCATTCTAGCACTGACCTGCAGCCTCCCTGGCCACAAAAGGGGGGATGAAGGAACGTGGGGGAGGGACAGCACTGCTCATGCCTGCACCCCCAACCTCTGGAGGTTCCATCCACCTTATCCCTGCCCTGATCTTCTTGTTGACACCCAAGAGAAAGAGCTCAAAACTTTCTGCTAAAGGGCCACCATCACATGACTGTAGCATCCCACCAGCTGTGGCCCAAGGAGGCCGAAGCCCACTGTGGACACAGCACCAGGGACTGTGCAGCCCCAGAAGCAGTGCTGTTTGTCTCGCCAGGGGAGAGGCAACAGGAAGAAGCAAAGCAGCAGGGAGTGTGTGTCCCTCCCTGCACGGCCCCTCCAGGCAGCACTCAGGCCTGCTCACCCTCTTACAGCTGCCTCCCCTGAGCCCATGTCCAAGTGAAGGCCACTTACCACCCACCCCATCTCTGTTGAATTGCTACTGCTATCATTTACTAATTCCACTGTCATGTTTGATATCTAGTGTCATATTGGGTCGCACACTATGAAAGGGGGACTGTATGTGTGTTGTCCAGTATGTCCCCATTTGTAACACAGACCTTGTACATACTAGGTGCTCAGTGAAATTCACTTGAGCGAACAAGCACATGAGTGAAGGCACAGCATCTCTGTGCACCTTTTCAGGCTCTGAGGAACCTGGGGAGTATTCATTTAATTTATTTGTGTATTTCAGTGCTAGGCATGGACCCAGAGCTTCGAGCATGTTAGGTAAGCACTCTACCACTGAGCTACACCCCAGTCTTCATTTTTAAAATGCACACCAACATCAGTACTTTTGTGTTTCCCTTTATTAACATTTTATTCTCAACCCCTATTACCTTCCTGTAAGAAAGGGCCTTTTCTAGAATCTTTTGTTCTGAATCTGACTCCAGATCTGTGCAAGGGGCTACATGTACAAGGAAGTTCTGAATTTCTGCAGAGAAATCTTTTGGCCACAGTAGTGCTGGTGGGCAAATTCTTTTTGGCAAGAAAAACCACAAGTGGTGACAAAAAGAAAGAATACACAAGTGCCAGAGCACCCTGAATTCAGAGCATCCACTGTCAAAATGTGGTCCAAAGAGGTTTTAGTATTACTGTTGCATGTTGGAGCAAACGGTTGGCCTTGGGAATCTGTGCATGGGTAAGTTCCATCTTCTAGTTGGACAGGTTTGTACGGCCTCTCAATGGCTGTGCCCAGGACAGCCCAAGGCTTTCGCTGGAGTAAGGGTGAGGGGTCTCAGTCTGCCAGGTTGGTCCTGGCCTTTCCCAGTGCAGAGTGCTGAGGGACAGTGGTGCAGAATGCCACTATGGCTTTTGGAGACTTCCTTGCCTTTCCGGCGACCTCGGGGGTCCTGTAAACAAGGAAAGAGTGGGTTATGTGTGGCCCCCTTAGGCCTCTGCAAGGTTTCCGCCTCCATGGTTTCTTTGCTGTTGTGACAGGAACCTTGTGACTGACTAGAAACATTTTATAAGTCTCAGGAGAGGGTGTAAGTGAGAGAATCATGGCACAAGCGCATCAAACACAAGATGCTTTTCTTCTGTCTCAATTCTTTGCCACCACCCTGACTGAGCTGAGCCACTCAGCACTTTTAGCTCAGTGAGCAGGACAAGAGCAAGGAGGGGTGTCAAGGTTGGACAGGAGGCCAGGCTGACTTACCTGCCCCACCCTAAAACGGGACAGTTCTCCTGTTGGCTGGCCCAGGGTTCTGCCCCAGGCTACTGGTACACTTCCCTGAAAGTGGACACGGGGGCACAGGCTATGTGAAGTGGGGGACCTTCTGACAGTTTGCTGGGCTTCTGCTCAGGGCCAGCAAAAGGATGGGGCCAACCTTCAAGATGAGGTCAGGGACTCTCTGACTCCTATCCTGACAGGCCTCCCAAGGACTGAGGGAACCCGAGGCGGAACTCCAGCAGGCCACCTCCCCACATCACAATGGGCGCCTTAACCTGCAGGGGGCTGATCTGCAGGAGGATGGGATCCAGTTTGTGTTTCTGAAATTATTTAAGAGCAAATTCTTTTCTAGTATTTAGGCAAGGAAGATATTTTATGACTGAGTTTTCAAAGAAACAGGTCCTGAATTTAACTATGCAAGTTGTGGGAAGTCAGTGAAACATTCCACAGAACCTTATAGAATCAGCCTCCTCTGGGATTCTGAATGGTGAAGGAATGGGAGACTTAGAGAAGAAGAGCAAGGGAAAGCCAACTTACTTGGACAGGGTGTCCACAGACTGCTGGGTGGCCAGGGTCCTCTTGTCTTGCGGTCCATATAAGATCATCTGAATCTGAAGACACTGAAGAATACCAAGGAGACATCATGAGGTTATGGAAATGTTCCCAAGTACACTTTGCAGAAAAATAAAGTCTCCCTTGGATGAGAAAAAGAATGCTTCAGGGGCTGGGGTTGAGGCTCAGTGGTAGAGTGCTCGTCTAGCATGTGCCAGGCGCTGGGTTCGACCCTCAGCACCACATTTAAAAAAATAATAATAATAAATAAAATAAAGGTATTGTGTCTGACTACAACTAAAAACAAAATATTTAAAAAAAAAAAAAAGATGCTTCACTTTGAGGTCCATGCTGCAAAGGAATTAGTGCCTTCTGGGGGTTTTTCCTTGGCATAGTCTGACCTTTGATTCAGATATTTTGAGTGACCCAGAAAACAAATGTGCATTCTTAGCACTGTTTCATAAAACTCTTCTGCATGCAAAAAATATTTAAAAGTATTTTCAAAAAATAAAGGCAAGCATGTTGGTACTGACCAGAAAATAGTCTCTGGTTTCTATTTTTAAATGGCCCTTGCTATATCTCAGAAATGGGGGGGGGGATTTGTTTTTTTTTTTTTTGTAAACAAATGCTTAATTTTATATGGGCTTTCTATGCTCATTGCTACACCAGAATTTTTAAGTTATTAGGTGTTAAATAGCTTATCATTTATTCATGACTGACATTAGCTTGATTTCTCCCTTTTGCTTAAGTCTTGACATTTGATTGTTTGTACTAGGTCAGGGCAAACTCAAGGAAAGAAGAAAGATTAAAGATGTGCCCCAAATAACCAAACTAATTTTGAAGAAGAATGAAATATAGGAACTTGCTTTCCTGGATACCAAGACCTTTTATAAAACGACAATTATAAAATGACAATAATAATTTTCATCCCAGGGTAGTCAAACAGACCAATAGAACAAGGCAGAGAGCTCCATCCTTGATAGATGATGACAGAGCTGGCCTTGAAGGATCAGCAAGAGGAGGAGGACTAGTCAGTAAGTGGTATGAGGGCCACTGGGTTTCAAATGAAAGAAAATGAAAACCCATATCAACACAAAGAGTATTCCCAGAAATGTTTAAAGAGTTAAATAAGAAAGATAAAACTTGGAGTTTAACATGGAAATCTTGGAGGATCGCCTTATGATCTTGAGGTAAGGAAGWATTTCTTACACAAGATCTAGACAAACTAAAGGTAAAAAACTGATAACATTTAACTACATGGAAATGTCAAATATTTTTGCACCAAAATTCATCATAAGCAAAATATAAAGACAAAACAGATGAAGGAAGATATTTGTAATGCACATAACTGAGAGAGGCTTAGCTTTTGGAATACATAACAGACTTCTAAAAGGTAATGAGAAACAACACCATTGACAACATCCTTCCAATAGAAAAATGGCCAAAAGAAACAAACAGATTATYCAAGGAGTTGAAAACTGGCCAAGAACCATGCTTAATCTCACTCATAACCAGAAACAAAGACAAAAACTTCAATGAGTGTCCCTTCACCTATCACAATGCAAAAATTATACTCTGATGATATCAAGCTTTGTCAAAGATAGGAAACAACAAGAACYATTTTATATATTGGTAGTGGGTGTTAAAATTAGTACAAATGCTTTATAGGACAATTTAGCTATATTTAGTAGTAGATAAGTAAATGTTGATATTTACATATGTTGTATATTTGTGTATGACATCATAAAAAGGTTAGGCATGAGCATGTGTGTGTGTGTGTGTGTGTGTGTGTGTGTGTGTATAATGTATATCTCCCCACATATATAGGTGAATCTCAAGATTCTAAAGTCAAGAGGAAAAAGCAAATCCCAAGTGAGTGCATGTAATATGAAGCTTTAAAACATGCAAAACAAAAGCACAATAAAATAAGAAAAGCATAGAAATCATATCAAATTCAAGATAGTGGTTCTCGGGGGTGGGCCAACAGGAAATTCCAACTGTACGGTTCATGTTTAATTCCTACACTGACTATTGAGTTCACAGGTGTTTGTTATATTACACATCCTTTCATATCTGAAATATTTCTTAATTTTTTTAAAGATTGAGTTAAGTTTTCTACATGGCTAACAGCTTGAGTTTAAAAAAAAAGTGTGAAGTTTGGGGATATAGCACTGAAGACTTGATTCATTTTGATCTGCCAACCATTTTTGGGTCTTCAAGAAAATAAAAATGCAAGCAGCTGAAATGCTTTGTCTCCACAAGCTATGGAAAACATGAAGACTGAAAATTGTTTCARTCTTGAGGAGCTGAGAATGTATGTGGTCCTGGAATCTGGGAATGTGTTTGTCTTTGAGGAAGGAAATATCAGAAAAGAATATGACGGAATGGGCAGGGGGTGGGGAGGGCRGCGCTGAGGTTGTGGCTCAGYGGGAGTGTACTAGCCTAGCATGTGCAAGGCCCTGGGTTCGATTCTCAGCACCACATAAAAATAAGTAAACAAAATAAAGGTATTRYGTTCAACTAAAAAATAAATATTAAAAAAGAATATGACAGAATCTTTTTTTTTAATAACAGAAAACTTTCATTTTYTTACTTGAAGTGTTATGCACCAAGCAGTGGGAAATTAGCATTTTACTTAGTAGATAAATCAAATTCTGCAAAGGCAAGGGACCCAGATTGTCTGTTTGATGAATCTTTGACATTCTAAATCTACACTGAAATCYTCAGCCAGGAGCTACTTCATCCCATGGATTTAAACCAGTGCTGCTTTAATCCACAGATTGACTGTTGTGACCTTGGATCTCAGGAACCTTCAGAAACCTCTGCTGCTTTGAGAGGAGGGGATGGGGCATGTTGTTTTGACAGCCATGACACTGGATGAAAATTATTCCAGTGCTCACTGGGTTTGGGAGGCAGTMGTGGGAAGCCTTGGTGCCTCTGACCCTGGAGGGGGTAAGACTTACTCCATTACAGGTGTGGGACAGGAGAAGGTGCTCACAAACAGGGGACAAGAAAGGCCTCTCTCAAGGGCTTACTCTTCCTGCCAGAACAGACTTCATTTCCTCCTTCTCTGTGCCTAAGAGATGAGGTCTAATTTTACCCACCCCACGTTCCCTGTTTACATATTTATGAGTGTCTCCGATGAGGCTCATTTTGAGAGGAGCTGAAGTTGATGTGGCTTGGTGTTAATTCATTCAGTGTGGCATTAGACTTTTACTGACAATAATGATTATCTGAGACAGTCTGAGGTCTCAGCGCACTCTGCCTTAACAGATGGCCTTAAAATCTAAAACATGGGAGGAATTTCCAACCAATCCTTTTGGTTATTGAGCTTCTTCTCCCTGGCCCTTCACTCTCCAGGGAAGAGACGCTGCTTGGTGAATAGTCTTGAATTCCCAGGAAGAATGAGAAGGCAATTGATAGGACTTCTATAAACCCACCCACTCACCAAACTGCTCTCCAACACATTCCTTTCTTATTTTAAATTAATTTTAAAAAGGCATTATATAATTTGATGTCACTTAAGAGAAAAGTAAATGCATGAAGAAAGAAAAGAAAAAAACAAAATCATTAACAGAGGAGATTCAAATTTCCATTATACTTTTATGTATTTTCCAAATTTCCTCCAATTTTAATGAGATTTTTAAAATAACTTTTTCAACTGTGTGTCCTCATTTGGGCATATTTAAAATTTTGTATTTATTGACATCAGTTTGGTAAAATTCTTTTGCTTTTTTTTTTATACTCTGAAAATAACTTTGTGAAGCTAAAATTAAACTTTTCCCAGAGAAAATCCTTGAAGTACTAAAGAAGAGACTGGAATGCTGATGATCCATCATTTCTCCCTTCATTTTGTGCACTGTGACAACAAGGGCAAGTTCACCAGCCAAATCCTACAGTAAGACATCAACAGCACATGCTGTACCATGGAAGTCTTTATGCTTCTCAACCAGATTTTCAACAGGCTGCTTGCTCCTTGACAGGTGGCATTTTGAGAACCTCCTTTAAGGAAATAAAAAAAAAAAAAGCGACAACAGGAAAAAAACACCAGTGACAGTTGACGGGTGAGGCCTGGTGAGGTTGAACTCAGTGGGCCACCATGAAGCAAGATACCCTTTTAAACAGCAAAATAACTCAATATATACTTCTACCAGGAATTGGTTTATTCATTTATTTATTTTTGGTACTGGGATTTAACCCAAGGGACACTTTACCACTGAGCCATATCCCCAGCCCAGCCCTTTTTATTTTTTATTTTGAGACAGGGACTCACTAAGTTGAGGAGGCTGGTCTCAAACTTGTGATCCTCTTGCCTCAGCCTTCTGACTTGCTGAGATTTCAGGTGTGCATCACCATGCCTGGCCAGAAATAGTTTTAATTGCTATGTATTTATCTGAGGAACTATAAGTTAATTTTTCAATGTTCTGCATTTTCTTAAGCATTTTAGGGTAAAGTTGGTGTTTTGATTCTTTTGTTAAAAAACACAGACATTGACAGAGTTAAGTAAGTGTTCATTGAAACTGCTGGGAGTCAGGCTGAGCTGAGTAAGGAAGAAGCCCCCAGACCTTGACATTAGAACAGTCTCTACCAGGAATAAAGCATCTCACACTCTTGACTGTTCCAAGAGGACAGTGCACTCTCCTTTGACATCAGCCACTAAATGGTGTTTCTCATTTGCAGTATGGACATTCCTCAGAAAATTGGGAATGGGACCACCATTTGACCCAGCTATCCTACTCCTTGGTTTATACCCAAAGGACTTAAAATCAGCATACTATAGTGACACAGCCATATCAATGTTTATAGCAGCTCAATTCACAATAACTGGACTATGAAACCAACCTAGGTATCCCTCAATAAATGAATGGATAAAGAAAATGTGGTATATATACTCAATGGAATATTACTCAGCTTTAAAGAAGAATAAAATTATGGAATATGCCAGTAAATGGTTGGATTTGGAGAATATCATGCCAAGCGAAATAAGCCAATCCCACAAAACCAAAGGCCGAATGTTTTCTCTAATATGCGAATGCTAATTCACAATAAGGCGGCRGGTGGGCACTAG